GTGTATACGTGTGTCTAATTTATTAATGTGATTTTTTATGCTATTGAATTTTCTAACTTGTCAGCTGGAAAAGATGTTGTTGGACATAGGCAAGGACCATTTTGAACAAGCAAAATGCTTAAATGCTGAAATAGATGTTCAAGTAAGTTGTTATTGTGTTTTTATTATTGATTGTATAATTTATGCCAACCATGGAACTTTGTAATTATATTATATTGTTGACTTTACAGATCCAAATATTTCGTGCCACAAAACTTTGCCGAAGAAGTAAAAACTTGACTGTAATTATATCGGATTGTGGAGAGGACAACATAGAAGGTAAACATCTCTTCTTTTAACATAGTAGTTGATTTTTGTTATAAATCCTAAGTTATCACATTTCTCTCTTGTGTTTTAGCTCAATTGCAGTATGTTTTAACTCAAATTCATTATAGAAAACATATCATAATATATTACTAGCTAAATACCTTTTTCTAATAAAAAAGCTAAATAACATGCCTTGCTATCGTACTACGCAACACCATGTAAGCCATTGCTAGGTCGGCTTGCTCATCTAAATTTTGTTAGCGTGGTGTTAGGCCTCCACTTCCGTGCTAAGCCGGCAGCCATGCCTAGTACTTGTACAGTAGTTTTTTTATGACTTGTCTCGTACTTTATTTGTTAGATATTTTTTAGGGCTGGCGTCTCGCCTATACTTTTAGTTTATCCGATTTCCATCATTGTACAGTCCTTCAAGATTGCTTGCCAAACATGCGAATTGCTCCTTTCTTTTTGGCACTCATGCAATTTGTAACACACAAACATTTTGGTTTGTCATCAATCTCCGTATGTGTTTTCCCAGCATAGCAATACTAAAAATTGAAGATTTCTAAAACTCATACCTCTTGCCATTTTAGGTTGTACTTCTTTTCCCCATTTCTAATGCATCTGCACACAAATAGTCAGTCTTGTTTTCATACATTGCCATATTTCTGCAGCAAAATATGTATCTAATTGAAGCTTGATGTTTTTATTCTTGTAGGCACTTACCCAATCACTACTAGCCTTTGAAGACGAGTCTACTGACAAATTCATCCTGAACAATTGCTTAATGCATGGAACCAACAGAATTAACCGATGTTCTATAGATTTTTGTGTGTGTGTGTCCTCAGACAAGAACTTCAAAGTACTGTGCCTCTTTAAATGTAGTTCATGGACCATAGAAGCAACATAGCTTAGAGCAGAACCTGTTATTGGCTACTTATTTTGAGTTCTTGTGAGACCTTATACCATGCATGTATTGTGGATGAACAATTGAATTGGATAGAGTGAAATGTTTGGAACTAGTTTGATGTATTCACATTGTAAACTTGCCTTATAAATATGTATTAGCAAAAGAAGAATCTCTATGAAGGGTAAAAGAGAACAAGTAGCATGTTGCGATGTATACTATCACCCTAAAGATTACATTACATTATACTAGCACAAATGCCCGTGCGTGGCACCCTGTTGTCGGGCTCCCCTCGGAGAAGATACCACCGGTGTATTACACCATAAATGTTATTCCTATGTGTTGTGTTATGATTTTATCTCTTCTCTCTACCTCGATCCTAGGACTCGCAGGTACTCGAGAACTGAAGATCGGAACAAGGTGAGGCAAGGTACATAGATGAGAGGAACAATATGCCAAACATTGATGAAAGTAATTGTAATCAAGTCTCTAGGGGTAGATACAGTTTAGTCATTGAACTCCCAATGTGTTGGTCTCGTTATCCTTAATAACCGAGGTTACCCCATGAATCGGATAGGGCGTTGGTTGGACAATAGAACTTGTTGCGGTGGCAGTCGGTCATGGGGTTATTAGGATGCATATCCGACATAATTTGTTCGCATGATATGTGTAACGGTGTTTACCAATGCCATGTTGATTTATCTAGTTGGTATCCTGGGTGCATGTACACGATCGCATGTCAAACCTTAAGCCCTGCCATATTTCTTCATTATTATGTTTTTAATCACCTTTGTGACTGGACCGGGAAACAAGCATGCTTTGAGATATCAAGTACCTGCAGATATTTCCTTTCCAAGCATTATTCACTTCATGTATTCGATAAATGCTAGGGTCTCTAGAGAAGAAGAATATATCTACATTGAAACGTAATCGAGGGTAATCAACCCTTTGTCTGGCGCCGGTTGTCGGGAAGGTATTTGCTACCCTAGTATCGTTACTAGAGTCCTTATTTATTTTTCATTTTAGATTTTTCCATTAGTTCATTTTTCACATGTTAAGAAAACCCAAAATTATTATTATGGCTACTAAAGAGCTTTGGATGTTTGCTACTCCCAATGGTGATTCTAAGCGTGCATCGATCATGCAACTTGATGTCACAACCGAGCAACATGAGGTTAAGTCGAACTACTTACTGTGGTTCAACAAAACTAATTTGGAGGCTCTCCTTGAGAGGATGCGTGTATACATCCACTTGTTTCCTTTCTCTCTGAGAGGAGAAGCTAAAGAATGACTATTAGCTTTGCCTAAAGGAGCCATTACATCTGGGAATAGTTGCTGCAGTATGTTCATGACTAAACATTTTCCAACTGCAAAAACCATGCACTTACGTGCTAATACCGCCACGGCCCTGACGCGGTGCAGGTCAGTGTCACCAGCGTGAACCCAAGCTCCTTCATGGCGACCCACACCATGGCCTCAATGATTGCCTTGGACACCGCCTAGCTAGGGCGCAATGTCACCGCTAGTGCCGAGGACACAAGCACGATGCACCCCTCACCACCAGATCCTTGCTTGAGGGTCAAGAATCTACCGACGACATATATCAAAGGAAGAGAATGGTGATGCAGATCGAAGGAGGAAGAGAGACGAGGGAGAGGCGGGGTTGCGGGAGTGAGAGGAGAGAATGATCGATTTCGTGTAATTCCTTCGATTTGGAGGTCTCGACGCGTTTCGGATCTGGCCCGAATATTCGGTCGGTAGGAAAAAGTGGCTTTTGTTCTTCTTGTGTACCTAACACGGGAACCAAGCTCAGGAACAGGTCTCACCCATGACATTCTGGTTCATGACTGGAATCAAACACACCCTACATGTTTCAAGTAGAAAGATCATGAGCCATTAGCGCTTGCTGAGAACGTATGAAAGAAACCGTTAGGAATTGTCCTAGACGTGGCATGAAAAAACGACCAATTTTTCATTTTTTATAGTGGTTTAAATCATTTATCCATGAACATGCTTGAGACTATTGTAGGAGGACTATTATGGGAGCTACGAGACGATATGCATGAAAATCATGCTCAATGGCCTGACAACAGAGCTATGTCTAGAAAGTTAAATTCTATTACTCAAGAGAAGAATGAAGAGGTTAGGACAACATTTGTTGAGATCATAGGTATGATAAAGAGGTAAATAGGAAGGTGAATGATATTATCGATGTTGCCGTTAACGTCAACTTCATTGCTCGCAATAGTTATAATCCTGAGTGGAAGAATTAGAACTTTGGTTCGAATCATAACTTGTGGTAGTCTAGTCCTTGTTGCTGGAAGTTAAAACCTGCCAGCCCCATAAATTGATAGCACTACTCGCCCCTTTAGTCCTCAGACCATGATCCCAATACATCTACCACGAGCAAGGCACACCGTGACTCGCTTGCGTGCTGATGAGCCTAACCTGGAAGGAATGACCGGTTCAAGGCCCCCCCCCCCCTAGAGCTAGAGTAAAGAGGGTGCTTAAGAAGGATGCGATTCTAGACATGGTTTAGGGCAGGTTGGGTGGGGGAGGGTGTTGAAACCCCTTACTGCATCTAGTGGGCATGGACATGGTTGGTACAAACATCCAAACACGCTCGTGGGCTTCGCCGAACTTCGAAATACAACGTCTCATGATTATGTACTTCATGTCACGTGCTCGAAAGATCCAACAACCATTTTTAGCAAGTGGTATCGTACAACAGTTTGCACTAATGCGCGTCGGTGCTATACAAACGGTTTTTAACCCCTTTCCGCGATGGCATTTGGGACCGTCGCCAAGTGAGTGTGTGCGATAGGGTGTCCTTCCCACACGACGCAGAAACCGTCGGGGATATGGAGCAGTGATCCAGAGGTCTCTGATCGCAGTGTCACATTATCAGCATCCTGCACTAGTGTTGTATCATGATCCGTTTAGAGGCGAGGGCCGAGGGTTATGCCGTGCAATTGCGCAAGGGCATGGGCATACGGGTCGACCTCAACCGACGGCCACAGGTGACGTGGCCGTGACTCATTAAAGGCCGAATATTTTTTCAATGGGAGGCGATGTTTTCGTCGATATCGAGACGCCTTAGGTGTTTTCGACAATCTAAGATCTACCGGCTCAGTCTCTCGGAGGTGCTCAAAAAGGTAGTGTGTGCAAACATGTGTTCATAAAGATGAGTATATATGCGTGTATATGAACATTTGCATCTTTCCATGTTTCTCAAAGCAAGTTCAAATTTAAAATTCAAAACCTGAATCCAAAAGCAAAGAAAAGGAAGGTTGTGGACGTGGCTTCTGTCATGAGTGTCACTCAGATTGTACCGTGGGTGGGCATCCCATTGTGTGAGCTATACCTGGCCATTCGTCGGGCTGAGACAGGCTTCGGGCCGGGCCTACCAAAGCCTGCCACAGAAAACCTAGGCCCAAGCCCAGTCCGACCCAGCTGTCGGGCGTAAAAATTAGGCCCAAGCCCGATCCATCATGCAAAAAGCCCGTGGGGACTCAGGTCGGGCTTCTTTCTTAAACTACGAATATGTCGAGCACGAGCCCGGCCCAGCCCAGCCATTGGGCTCAAAATGTAGGCCCAGGCCCGGCCCATGGGCAAGGTCGGGCCGTCCGGGCCGGGCTGCCCATGGCCAGTATAGTGCGAGCGCACCCACTCCCCTCCCTTTTCCCGCCCTTTTTATTCCCCACCTCCTCTCCCCGACTCCAGAAGCTTCCTTCCACTCCTTGCTCCTTGCCACGCACCGCCACCGCCGCCGCCGGCGAAGAGGAGAAGGGCGAGAGGGGGAGGATGGGGACCCGACATATACCGCTGCCTTGCCTGTACGAGCTCCTCCTCGGCAACGGTGACTTGGCACCCTAACCTGACCGACCGCCGCCGGTTGTACGGCTCCCCCCTCCGGCCGTCTCATCATTTCACTCGCTTGTTTTGCAGAGCGCGACCGTTGGTCGCCGGAGGCCAGGTTCATCGAAGCCGCCCACAACGGCGACGTCGGCAAGATCAAGAGTAAGTGCCGCATTTCACCAGATCCCCACGCCCCTCCCTCTCCCTCCCTGGCGTCCGCGTCAGCGAGCTCTCTAGATCTGGCTAGGGGCCTAGGGTTCAGCTGCCGTGTGTACTTCGTTCTCGATCCGGCCGCGGATTGCGGCTCCGGGATGCCAATTTCGGTCGTGATTTAGGTTTCAGTGCTCAGGTCTGGGGGCAAATCGGGGGTTTCAGACCAAATCTTGGCCCCTTTCCTAAGAATGAGTGGCGATTTCTTTCTGATTCAGATTACAGTACACAGATACTACGTCCTTGCCATGATTCCTGACTAAAAGTGCCCCCTTTTTTGTCTCAACTGCAGAGATTGCAAAGGAGCTGGACGTCCGCGGGCACGGGATCCCGGTGACGGTGGCCAACACCACCTACATGGGCATGAACGCCCTCCATGCCGCCGCCGGCTGCGGCAGCTTCTCGGTCTTCCAGTATCTCGTGGAGGAGGTCAAGATGGATGCGGACTTGCCTGACACCGCTCAGCGTACGTTCAGGCATTTCTGATCCTAATATAAGCACATTTAGTTTTATGACTTTATCATCAACTTCAGCTGAGCTGTGAGTGTCTTAATGCCAGAGTTTACACCCGTGGCGCATGCCGTCACCAATGGCAACCTTCCCGCCGTCAAGTACCTCATTGATCATGGCGCTGATGTGCATCAGCAACGTGCAAAGGGAAACATCACTCTTCTTCATGCAGCTGCAGTTCATGGTATGAAAAGGAACTTCACTTGATTGTTACTACTTACTTTAGCATCCCTTGTTTTCTGCTGGGCCTACCATGGTGATAAAAATGGATTTACTTTACCAGGAGCTAGACTAAGCTAGCCTAATAGATTTTTTTCCTGTTGCCATAAATTAAAAGTAGCCTCCTGATCCTATTTGCTTCTCATGTTCATTGGGGCCTGAATAGTGATCAATCTTATGAGTTAGCCTTCTCATAGGAGCGATAGCTGGCTTTCACAGAGTTTCTTCATATGTATTGAAATAAGAGTGCTCTAGGTTGGAGAAATAAAAAGTGCAGCTTCTAGGGACTCTAAAGCGCTTCCATGAGAGACAGATGGACTTCTAGTTATTGGCTGATTCCTAATTCCCCGCTCTCAGATATGTAAAGATTCCACGTGTCAAAGTATTGCTACCAATCTTGTTAGTCTAGCCATTGGAACTAGTTTCCTAAGAAATGTTCGTCTACTTTACCACCTTCTTATGTTGACTGATTATGGTCATTCTTTCTGTATGCCTATTTAGAGAAATGTGAACCAACAAAAATGCTTCCCCCACTAGTTATTGAAACTTCGCCGAGCAAAAATGTTTTGTTCATGTCATGTATCGGTAATAGTATTATGACCCTTTTCTTCTTTTCTTCAGGGTACTCTGAAATAGTAAAGTTTCTTCTTGTGAGGGGAGCTGATGTGCATGCAATATCAGATCTTGGAACAGCACTCGCGGATGCTGCCATTAGAGGATTTCCTAGTATTGTCAAGATCCTTTTGGAGCACAATGCAGATGTACTATTCAAATTATATGTTGATATGCTGTCTTTTTAACTCCAATTCCCCCTTTTGCTGTGTTTTTGCTACTTTCTCCAATTGTTCCCACCTGTAGTTGATGGCCTTTTTTGGTTGGTGACTAAGAGCCTGTTTGATGACTAACTATGCCATGTCAAAAGTTAGGCAAGCTGGTTACCCGTTCAGTTCACAGCCGCACTTGTGCCAAGATTCCCTTTCTACAAGTTGGGTCCCATGTGTCACTGACTAAAAAAGGTGTGGTAGGATTCACTTAGGCTTGGCAAAGCATGCCACTTATTTTATCATCTTATCTTAGACATGTTTTGCAAAATGTTGTGGCAAATATCATCAACCTTCGTAAACCAGCCAAACAGGCCCTGCTATTGCTGTCAATGTGTGAGCCAGAGTAGGCATGGTGGGACCGGTCTGAAAAATTAATGGGAGCAAGCGGACATAAGACTATATAGATATATTCTATTCCCTCCGTCCCACATTATTACAACCAATATGTGAGTATATGGTTGTAATGAAATCTTATATTATGGGACGGAGGGAGTATATTCTTACGAAAGTAGTATCCTCCCAGCTCTTTTTCCCCAAACAATTTCCATCTTTTTGTTGGAACTGTCATATTTTGGCACGAAAATGAAGTTCTTTATTTTTTTCCAGCCCAACAAGGCTAGTTGTCAGTTTGGACTTTTAAGCATGGCATTACAAAAATCTTCTATATCCTGGGTGAAGTTATTGATTCAGGTATAGTATCCTCTGCTTATAATACAGCAGGAATGCTGGATTTCTATAGACTGATGTTTGATTTAGCTATCTTTGTATTACCTACTTGAAAACCATATGATTGGCTTGTCTTCTATACTTGGATCTGATAGGGTGGAGCTAATGTCAGTGGTGATAGTCCTCAGGATAATCTTTTGGTAAAGGCTGCAGAGAAGGGCTTAACTGAAGCTATCAAGTGCTTGTTGGAAGCTGGTGCAAACCCAAATGTTCCTAGCACAATAAGAATGCTCTTTTTGTCACATTCTTGTGTCTATCTTGGCTTTGTAATTTCAGTAGACTTGTCCTATACAGATAGGCTAGTTGTCAGTACAACTAGATGATGCTATCCGTAAAATTAAAATAAAAGGCTGTGCTGAGTTACCTTTTTTTTGCATATGCTTGCTACTATTTCACCTTCCCTTCGTGCCATGTCTTTAATTTGGTCAGATATACATAGATGTGCCGCACTACGTCAACCTATTATGATGGTAGTGAATCAATATGGACATATGGTTTGCATATCATGTCTAGAATACTGCTTATTTCTTCATGTTGAGTATTGCCTTTCTAAAGCTTTCGTTGTTCCTCAACAGTTTGGTAGACTGCCAATTGAGTTGGCTGCTGAGTATGGTACACGGGAAGATGTTGAGATTCTCTTTCCGTTCACCTCGCCCATTTCAACTGTGGCAAATTGGAGCGTTGATGGAATCATTAGTCATGTGAAGATGGAAATCAAGCAACTAGAGGTATGCCACTGTAAATTATCTTGCACGCCCTTGGCAATTTTGGTGCATGTTAACTCTCTTGAGTGTGTTGGCGTTAAGTCCATGTTTAACTAACACTCGTAGATCTGGAACTGCCAAAGTTTAGCCTCCTATTCGAGACTCGTCAAATGCGCATGTGTTTCCTTGCACCTGCTTTGCTGCCTAAGCTCTTCACCTTAACATCTTTGCTAGTGTACCGTTTCTCCCTCACACACATCAGACCTCTAATATATACCTGATTCAACTTATTATGAGTTGCCCAGGATGAAAAATTTGTGAAAGAGAGGGTGTCTGACCTGAAACGACAAGCAGATGAAGCATTCAAAAACCAGGATTATCTAAATGCATCAGTGCTCTACACACAGGTACATTGCCGGACTGTTTATTCTTTGTAGGCTGGTGGTAAAGTCATGAAACATGTTCCTCCACTACGATTTAGTTGATTTATCATTGAGATTGATTGATCTGGGCAATGCGTAAAAGTGATCTCTTACTTTGGCATGCACATCTTGTCGCATATGCGGAGTGTTAGCCAAGATTGGAGAAGTTTCATACCTATGGCTACTGGTAACAAAAAAACAGACATCATGTTAGAAAGTAAAATAAGAACTGAAACACATTAATCTTGGTCTTCCATTCCATTGCTTGGAATTTGAGGTGGTTAGTTTCTCTTTTCTCACAGTTTCGTGTTTCGGTCCTTGTACCTATGGAACAAATCATAAATTTGCGTCCTAAACCAAGCAGTGTTTCTAGAATGTGGCAATGGCACTGCAATTTTTCGCTGTTTTATCTGCTGCAGGCACTGAAGATGGATAACTTCGACGCCAAGTTGTTGTCAAACAGGAGTCTTTGCTGGCTTCGCATGGGTGATGGACAAAGGGCTTTTGATGATGCAACTAAATGCAAAAGGCTGCGTCCAAAGTGGGCAAAGGCGCACTATCGAGAAGGAGCAGCTCTAATGTTCATGAAGGTGCACTAGATCGGGTTCAAACTCATGATTTCATTGCTCTTTTTATATCTGCTATTTGATTCTGACGTGCGCATGGGTTCCTTAGAAGTATGCTGCTGCGTATTCCGCACTCTCACACGCTTTAGAGTTGGACCCGGAAAGCAAAGAGACCGAGAAATTATTCTGGTATGAAATCCATGTTTCATCTCGTTTTCTCCTGGTGTGATATTAGGTTAACATTGTCAGCAGCTGCAGATTCTAGGTGCTTCCATAATTAGTTAGTTGATTTGGTTGCTTCTTTTGACAATTTTGTGATGAACTTATCAGTTAGTAGAATTTGATCCTTCTTTGTAACAATGTTGTGATCATCTGATTCATGCAGGGAGGCGATGGAACTTAAGTGATCTTGCCCTGCATGCCGACTGCAGAGAGATCTGAAGCTCACGCAGAATCTCAAGCTCTGTTTTTTGTGTTCTTCGACTAAACAAAAAGCCCACTAAACTTTGAATCATGTCACCTTATGCTTTTAATGTAATAATTCACTCATGGGCTGTAGCAGCAGCTTGGAGCAAACCATGTTACTGGCTACTTATTTTAAGTTGGTTTTGTGAAACTCAAATCCTGTTTTGTTTGTATGGCAGCAGTGATGGTGAATTTAATTGGTTATGCTAGAGTGAAATGTTTGCATTGCCACTTCCAATGCGCTTGCTGATAAATGAGATAGCTGCTACCATGAATTTGCAAATCTATGACCAGATTGCTACTTCACTTTGCAGATCATAGGCACTGTTTATGTTTTTTTTTGTGTGGGGATACTATTCACGTTCCCTGTTGCTGTTAGCTCTATACTTTTTCTTAACTGGCCATCACGATGTAATATGATCATTAAAATAAGTCTAATTTGATATGTGGTGGCATCAAATGGTTTTAGTTGTGGAGCACCTGCGAAATCACAGTTGTATGACCGGAAGTAGAGATTGTGTGTGCCTCTTCTCAAGTTAAGTGTTACGTCTAGCATTGTACAGTATGTTTCTTTCTTTTGGCCTCCGAGTGCTGGGAGAATCTCGATACCCTAATGAAAATCATGCGGTTTTGCTTCATTTTTTGTAACATCAGCCCACTTCCACCCATACATGGTGGCTCTTATGCTGATTCGCTTCATTCTCTTGAGGTTTTCTAGGAGTTTTCTTTGTTTTTGTACAAGTTTGATGTAGATTGTTATATTTAGTTTCATCATGTTCCACTGTTCATTGCTAATGCTTGTGAAAATAATGCCTTTTATGTCCTAATGTTTGCGGGTAGGCCCAAGTTTGTAAAGCGCGTCCATGTTTCTTGCAATGTAAATGGTTTTGTAAATTTTAGGCTATGGTCCTTATATCGAAATTATTGTGTTGAGGTGTCTGCGCTTTGTTTAAACACTTGGTAATAGGTCCAGCAAATTTGTGTAGATGCTCATCATCATGTAGATGTTTCTACTACGCTTATAAAAGCCTGAAGTATGGAGATCCTAAACCCATCATCAAAATTGTCAATTGCTACAACTATATGCTTTCTCCAGGCTAATGATGCTAAACCAGATGTTATAGCATTCTTCAGGTTGATGAATTACGGGAGTTCAGTTTCTTTTTGTGATATACGAAGATAGATGTTTTTTATAGCCCAATCAAAGCCTAGGTATAGGGTCGACAAGAGCTAGATATGAGGCGTGCCGGTGAGGCCAAACATGTAGGGCCAGTAAGACTAGATCGCGATTTCTTGACCAGGCTGTCTGTCTAGATGCATAGGGGCAATATAAGGGGTGTGTTTGGTTACATTCTCAGTGGAGCCTGTTTAAGTGTATGTAGGCTCTGGGCCATGCTATGCATGTCGTTTGGTAGGCTGCATCAAGCAGCCCAGCTCGCGTTTCCCGGTAGTGTAAATTACACTAGGCCCAGCTTGCATCTGGAAAAAATGGTTGATTTTTTTAGACAATCTTGCAAAGCCTTTATTAACCCGTCACAATATTTACAGGGACGAAGGAAAGATTCCCAGGATGACCTAACCAAACATGGTGGCTACCCCCGAGAGAGAGAGAGAGAGAGAGCATGCTTTGCTAGATTCTGATCTTTAAAGTTTGAGCTACTAAATTCATGAACTATATTACATAAATGAAAGTCTGAAGACCACTCTAAAATCTCTTTTATCATTGCTCCATAAGATGCAGAAGTCACGTTCCTCATATCATCCACAACCGTCCCGCAATCCAAAGCAATTTGGTATTCTGGACGTAAAGATTTTCTGAAGCAATTTGGATATTCTGGAAAAAAGGTTGATCTGAGCGTTTCTGCCGAGCCAGGTTGAGAGTGATTTAAGTTTTATGCGGGCCAATTTGTACATACGAGTTAGGCAACCAAACAACTCACTATTTAGCTAGCCAGAGCCTGATTGAGCTTGATGCAGCCTACCGAACGTGTCCAAGGGGTCAGGCTGTTTGACGCTCTAAAAGCAAGCTCAAATTCAAAAATTCAAAACCTGAATCCAAAAGGCATGGTAAAACAAAGCGAGTGACCGTGCTTCTTGCAGGAGCGTCGGATCGTACAGTCAGTGGGCGGGGACGTGTCGGGCTCCCATTGCGCGAGCGCACCCACTCCCTCCCGTTTGCTGCCCTTTTTATTCCCCATCCCACCCACTCCAGAACCTTCCTTCCTCCCTGCCACGCTCCGCCACCGCCACCGCCGGCGAAGAGGAGAAGAGCGAGAGGGGGAGGATGGGGACCCTGGAATGGCCAATGCCTCGCGTGTACGAGATCCTCCTCGGCAAAGGCGAGTGGCACCCTAACCTAGTCGGCCGCCGGCAAAGGTGAATAGTGACCAATCTTATGAGTTGTTGATTGTTTTTTGAGATAGGAACCACTCATACCAAGCGGTGATCAATCTTATGAGTTAGCCTTGTCATAGGAGTGATAGCCGGCTTTCACGACGTTTCTTCTTATGTATTGAAATAAGAGTGCTCTAGGTTGAAGAAAACAAGAAGTGCAGCAATTGGAACTTTTAGTTATTGGCTGATTAATTCCTAATTCGGCTCTCAGAAATGTAAAAAATCCACGTGTCGTCGTATTGCTACCAATCTTGTTAGTCTAGCCATTGGAACTAGTTTCCCGAGAAATGTTCGTTTACTTTCTACTTTGTATGATATTCCATACAATTTCCTCCCTCGACATCGATCGTATCACGTCCAAATGAAAGTGTACTTAATAAGGTTACCACCCGCAAAAATAAAATAAAATAAGGTTACCACCTTCTATGTTAACTGATCATGTTCATTCTTTCCGTATGCCTATTTAGAAAAATGTGAACCAACAAAAATCCTTCCCCCACTAGTTATTTAAACTTTGTTGAGCAAAAATGTTTTGTTCATGTCATGTATCAGTAATAGTTAACCTTTTGTTCTTCTTTTCTTCAGGGTACCCTGAAATAGTAAAGTTTCTTCTTGCGAGGGGAGCTGATGTCAATGCAGTATCAGATCTTCGGACAGCCCTCACGGATGCTGCTATTAGAGGATTTCCTAGTGTTGTCAAGACCCTTTTGGAGCACAATGCAGATGAACTATTCAAATTATTTGTTGATATATTGTCTTTTAACTCCAATTCTCCCCTTTAGCTGGGTTTTTGCTACTTTCTCCTATTGTTCCCACCTATAGTTGTTGGCTGTTTTTGGTTAGTGACTAACCATGCCATGCCAAAAGTTAGGCAAGCTGGTTACCTCTTCAGTTCATAGTCACACTTGTGCCAAGATTCCTTTTCTGCAAGTTGGGTCCCATGTGTCACTGACTCAAAAATGTGTGGTAGGATTCCCTTAGGCTTGGCAAAGTATGCCACTCATTTTTATCATCTAACCTTAGACATGTTTTGCAGAGGGTGTGGCAAATATCAGCAACCTTCGAAAACCAACCAAATCTGTCAATGTGTGAGCCAGACTAGGTATGGTGGGATTAGTCTGAAAAATTAATGGGGGCAAATGGACATGACACTACTCCCTCCGTCCGTGAATAAGTGTACATTTAACTTTTGTCTTAAGTCCAAATTTTAAAACTAGACCAACTTTATAGGGAAAAGTAGCAGCATTATGGCACTAAATTAGTATCACTAGATTCGTTTTGAAATGTAGTATCATAATATACCAATTTGATGTCATATATAATACTAGTATCTTCTATAAAGTTGGTCAAAAAATTAAAACCTTGACTTAGGACAAAAGCTAGAAGTACACTTATTCGTGGACGGAGGGAGTATAATTATATTCTATATTCTTACGAAAGAAGTATCACTCAGCTCTTTTTCCCCTTACAAATTCCACCTTTCTGTTAGAACTATCATATTTTGGCATGAAAATGAATTTCTTTACTTATTTTTGCAGCCCAACAAGGCTAATTGTCAGTTTGGCCCTTTAAGCATGGCAGTACAAAAATCTTCTGTATCCTGTGCGAAGCTATTGATTCAGGGTATAGTATCCTCTGCTTATATTGCAGCGGGAATGCAGTATTTCTATAGACTGATGTTTGATTTAGCTAATCTTTGTATTACTTACTTGAAAACCATATGATTGGCATTTCTTCTATACTTGCATCTGATAGGGTGGAGCTAATGTCAGTGGTGATAGTCCTCGGGATAATCTTTTGGTAAAGGCTGCAGAGAAGGGCTTAACTGAAGCTATCAAGTGCTTGTTGGAAGCTGGTGCAAACCCGAATGTTCCTAGCACAGTAAGAATGCTCTTTTTGTCACATTCTTGTGTCTATCTTGGCTTTGTAATTTCAGTAGACTTGTCCTATACAGATAGGCTAGTTGTCAGTACAACTAGATGATGCTATCCGTAAAATTAAAATAAAAGGCTGTGCTGAGTTACCTTTTTTTTTGCATACGCTTGCTACTATTTCACCTTCCCTTCGTGCCATGTCTTTAATTTGGTCGGATATACATAGATGTGCCGCACTACGTCAACCTATTATGATGGTAGTGAATCAATATGGACATATGGTTTGCATATCATGTCTAGAATACTGCTTATTTCTTCATGTTGAGTATTGCCTTTCTAAAGCTTTCGTTGTTCCTCAACAGTTTGGTAGACTGCCAATTGAGTTGGCTGCTGAGTATGGTACACGGGAAGATGTTGAGATTCTCTTTCCGTTCACCTCGCCCATTTCAACTGTGGCAAATTGGAGCGTTGATGGAATCATTAGTCATGTGAAGATGGAAATCAAGCAACTAGAGGTATGCCACTGTAAATTATCTTGCACGCCCTTGGCAATTTTGGTGCATGTTAACTCTCTTGAGTGTGTTGGCGTTAAGTCCATGTTTAACTAACACTCGTAGATCTGGAACTGCCAAAGTTTAGCCTCCTATTCGAGACTCGTCAAATGCGCATG